TATAAAATTGCTCTTACAGTCTGCAAAAAATAATAAGCTGGATCCAATTCGAAGATTAAGGAACAACACAATCATCAACATTAACTGAATTAGATAATTAGATAATTTTAGCTTATAATGTCCGTTATACATAAAACGCGCACGCGAAAATGTATTCTGCACTTGCGCACACGCATATGCGCAGTCGTAAAAGTCTTACGTGCACGTGTAAATGCCTATGCGCATGTGTCAACATGGCACATGCCCAGAAAGTTTTTAGCTTTGAGATCCGGATTATAGATCATTCCGGATTATGGGTGTCCGAATTAACGACTTTTGGCTGTAGTTCATTTTAAACGAGAAATCAATAGAGTAAAACGAATTTTTCTTTAAGGTTACGCACCTTGTCCACATATTTCAACAGTTAAAATGTCCATACTTCACATTCACACAACTAAATGAATTTCAATACAAACATATAAATGACACATTAGTTTGAAATGGAATTACAAGACTTGAACTCTTTCAAAAATCTCATTTTTATTTCAGAACAATTATTCAAAATATTATTTGAAGTAACTCTTTTTGTGAACTGTTATAATAATTTAAAAAAAAACAATACTTTTAATCAATGCACACAGCTAAAACAAAAATTATATTAAATTTCTGTGTTTTTACAGTCATTGCTAGATACCTGTTTAAGTATTTATCCTATGCTAAAAGAAATTATTTGTAAATTAGGTGATGCTGAATTCTTTAAAAGTTATTCATGGGTTCCATGCAAGTTACATTTACTTTTGCAGAAGAAATTTTGCTTCACAAATTTTTCACATACATAAATGTTTGTGTTGAAGGCTTTCCAGTATTTTCCAGTTTGGGCACGAAAATTGTCCTCAGGTCGGCAGATGGTTCGGCTGGATTTGATATTTTTATTTATGACCCTCCCAATGTAACATCTTTCTCTAACGGTCGCTGTTTCCCCGCTACTAATTAAGCGTGACAGGAGGTCGGAGGGAACAACAGTACAGAATATTCTGTCCTCAACGATTTCGAGACAGAAAATGTAAGGCAGGAAAAATCATTTGAAACGCTTTCGGATTCATCAAAAGCTGGCAAAATAATCCGTGTGTGACGATTTGGAAAGTCATCTTTCAGTACGGAAAAATCCGTTCGTAACACTGAGAGGGTTAAAAGATATTTCTCTTGATGCGGAATCAAAGCATGAGGATGACATCTGATACATGCTGTGAAAAATTTTGAATTTACTATCAACTTGAAAATTAGAACTAATATTTTTCCAGAATTCAATCGAGTAAATCTACAAATTCAAAAGGAATTCCTCTTCCCCGTTCTGTGTAGTTAATGAAAGAACTTGCCAAAACTGAGAAATTATAAAAAATGAGAGAAAAATTCTATGGAATATTGGATACAAGAGTCTAAAACAGTAGCCGAAAAAATTGCAATTGAGTCTATTCTAACGAAGAAAAAATTTCACAGCACAAAAAGCAATCTGATGAACCGTTGGAGGACAAATCACAAACACTTTAACCTGTTCAGATCAAAGTTTCAGCAAATTAAAACACATTAAAAAATATCTACGATCATCAGTGAGCCAGGAGTATTTATCAAGTCTTGCAATTCTGGCAACCAAAAATCAAACCGCAGATCAAATTATGACAATTCCATATGCTTATTTGCAAAACAAAAGGCTTACAGAGTAAAATTTAAATTTTTGTTACTAATTCTGTGATATTTTAATAGCGTTAAGGCAGGTAAGAACTTAAAATTACTTATGAAATAGGAAGTATGAAAAACAAGACAGGAAGCATGAAGTGATAGCCCATATACTGTACAATCTTTTCAGAATTTTTCCTTTCCACAATAGCCCACTTTTTGTATGCAATGGCCCCATTAATGGCTGAGCGATAAAAGCTGCTGAGCACTAGTAGTTCGGTCTGAGAGTCAAGTATACGTGAATGTGCTGGCTATATGAGCATTTCCGTAATTTTTCCCGTGTGTAACACACATAAGAGCTAGTTTTCCTTACAAATTTTTTCCACAGGGCATTCCTGCTTTTCCATGCAGTGCCTAATGATGAAACATATAGTACATAATCTGACAAATGTCCTCAGCAGTGGCCAAGTCATTAAGACCGCTGAATACTGGTAGTTCAACCTTGCCTGGGTTCAAACCCAGGTGAACGGGCTGGCTGCATGGTTTGTTTTCATGGATTTCCTCATGTGTAACGTGAATACAAGCCAGTTTCATTTAAAAATTTCCTCCACGAAAGCACCTCTTCTCTAAGCAGATAGCCCTCCTGTCTTTGCCATATCATATAATCTAACCTAATGTAATTTAACCAGTATGCAATAACACGGAATAGTGAGAAGCCCCTTCCCCCTAGAGCGGAAGAACTAATGGTTTCGAGGACTGGAGGGTTAGAAGCACTTCAGGATTAGAGTTAGGATTAGCAATTAGCATTAAATCCGAAAGTAAGCTCACCAGAAAGGCGGTTCTCCTAGGAGGGGACGATTTTCTAACTATGTAACTTTGGTACATACTTTTCCTTTATAACAAAAACAAACAAACAAACAAACAAACAAAAAAAGGCATGTAAGGAATTTAGTATAAATTGGAGCTTAGGTTTTTACTTCAAACCCTACCTATTTCTGTATTTATTAAACAAATTAAAACTTGTTAGAGAAACTTAAAGGATGATGAATGAGAGCGACAGTTTTAGCTTTTGCCCTACATCAGAAAAATCAAAGATCCGACAGTCTGCTGGCTTAAACAGTCAGTCCCCATGTGGATTTTGAGCAACATTTATTGCTACACAAAAAAAGGAGCTCACAGATATACATTATATCTTTGGGGCTGTGAACAAAAATAGAACAGCTTTCCAAAGGATGTATATAGAACAATTTCTAAATAAACATCTGCAAAAATCACTAAACTTTTAAGCGTATAAACAAGAAGCATTGAGAAAATGGCAGAGAAGCAGTTCCCTACTTTCAGATGTTATCTAATCAGGAGAGGATATAACAGAACTCCTGCAATAGAAGCTACAATATGTACATTTGAAGATAATATCATTACAAGCATGAGAGCTGTTGGATAAGCATTGGGTGTGAGCATACCAACCATTTCGACGGCTTAAAATGAAAAAGTTAAATAGATTAGGCTAGAGATTGAAACCAGGTCAAAAACCCCAGTATCCAACAGTCTTAACCACTTGGCCATAGAGGGTTTAAAGTGGGAAAAAAATGTATCCATATAATTTACAGAGAGTGAAAGCAATGAAACTGCATGATTAGCTAGCTCTGCATCTTAACTTTTCTGCTGGAGCAAATCCTGATTTTCCTTCATATATATTACTTCCGATGAAGTTATGTTTATTCATTGAGATAGGTTATTTATCTGCAATTCTCACGTTGAGGTGCATGATAATCTACATGACATAAGGTAACATGCCTATCAGGAAAGTTTCCCTGTTGATATTTCAGCTAGTGTGGTACAGAATACTTAGTAGGACCATACATTCCACCTTATCGCCTGAATGGCATCTTTCAATAAGATATTTTACCAGAACTTCCTTGATATATTCTTCGAGCTTTTTGCACATAAATGTGATTTTAACACAGTGGAATGCTAGCTTCTTTTAGCAGTAATGTTAGAAACAACCACAAAGCTACTTACACCTCTCCCTGATGACTAAATTTGACATGTATGCAAATCTTATTTTGGAAGAACTTAAGAACATGATCTACAAAAGTCCTACAGAGTCTCTTAAAGATTAACAGCTAGACTTTAAACTGCTGCTACTAGAAATGTGAGTGAAATATCAGAGAATCTGCTGATTTACAACAAACCAGGCATCACCACTGAGGATTTTATCCTCCTATTGATGAATTCATTTTGAAGCACCTACTGTAAAAAAAAACTAAATCATTAAAAATTTTGTTTCTTTTGACATCACGTGTTTCTTATCAACAGTCCAAAATTTTCTTATGTACTAGCACTTAACATGTATCTTTTTGATGTACACATTCCATTACAAAATCTGCTTATTTCTGTCCCTTCCACCTGCCTTTGCGTTTTTTTGATTGATTCTAATATGAAAATCACCCTTTTCCTACAATTTGAAAAATGAATTCATAATTTGATTAGCTCACATTGCATTCTAACTTACATGCTAGCAAAAAAATGCAGGATAAATCTCAGTGCTGGGTAACATCTGTTTTGAGTACTATGACAAAAACAAATTGCAGTAACTTTAATATGTAAAATATAGAACGTTTTGCATAGCATTAGAAAATGAAAAGGCTGATATTATCACTCATTAACTAAGTAAAAACTTACTTTTTGTAAGTTTCAACATTTAAGTTTAATTTTGCTTGCTTTTTAATATCATATATGATTTCATTTATATGTATTATTTCAACATTTCTTGTTCATATTTTATTTTCTGAAAAATCTCTCTGTCTTCATTTTAAAGTAAAAAAAAAAAAAAAGGATGAGTATAAATGTACTATTTTAAATTTTGAGAAATTCAAAATTTCTGAGAAATCAGATTAAATAATTTGCCAGCAAGCCTCTCTTTTTATGCTTGACTCAAACAAATTAGCAGAAATACAACTTTTCACAGAAAATTAATATAACATGTAAAATTTGGTTTGCTTGTAGTTGCAAGAAACAGGACTGCTCTTATTCTTAACTGCTATGGAAAGAAATTTCATAAAAAATGAATTTCTATATAATGGAAGAAACTAAATTTGCTAGCACATTTTAAATAATTTTTATGCTACAGAAATAATAATATTAGTATTTCTTAAAAATAAAGAAAATCTAAACAAAAAAATTTAACAAATTTTTCATTTCAAAAACCAGTTGTTTTCAGTAAAAACTAACTGCTGTTGCATTACATCCCAGCATTTAAAAAAAAGAATAATCATATAGACAGAGTTCCTCAGTTCGAAATGCTCAATAAGACCTCAATTCTAAATAACTCAATAAAAACATACTTGAATTGACTTTCCATTCATTGCATAGGCAACATCTCCAGGTTTACTAGCTTTTCCACTGGGTAAATTCTCACAGAGAGGGATAAAGCCTATAAATAAAAGATTAAAAAACGGTTATCCTTATAAAATATAACACAAAATTAAACGATATTTTTATCATTTAATTTTGTGTTATATACCTACATATCTACAGATCATACTACAAATGCATGCTTTATCCAAATAGCTCTTAATCTGTGAAATGCAGGGGTTAAATGATTTAGGGTTACAATAAAATTTTCATAAATTAACATATCAAAATTATATATATAAGTAATAAATATTAGTTATTTCATGCTTTAGTTTTGTTATGATCATTTTGAGTTTTAAATAGTTGCATATTGCCCACAATATGTCTTAAAATAAATTACCAATGATTTTGCATTTATTAAGGTCCCCGATTCTAACTTTTCACCAACCCATTCATAACAATATGCTACATTTAGTATATGTCATAGCAATAAGTGGCATGAACGACTACTAGCAACATGCAATGTTACCCTATATCATGTTGCATGCAATGTTGTTTAGTGCAAGTTGTATATATTTGAGCTGTCCTAACTTAAAAGGAATTACTGCATTTCTCCATACATGCTTTCATAGTGTAAATGGTTAATTAACTGTGGAAGATCCATGGTTCAAATCCTGGTGAGGATACAAATGATTTTCAAGTTTCCTTGCTCCTAAATTCTTAATGCACTAGTAAACTGGCACTCAAATTAAAATGTGATAGACAATAAGCCATCAGCCCTTGGATATGGTCAACTGAGTTTCATGTCTCTTTAAGTAAAATAGAATATAAAGAATTATGATTTTCCCTGCAGACTCTCATGATGTGAACATTTAACACACACCCAGCTAACAATGGAAGATTCATGGTTCATATCCTGGTGAGGACGCAGTTATTAATTTTCATTTTCCTGGATCCTAATAGCCTAATATACTTATACAGATGCTGTGAAGAAATTTTAAGTGTCTCATAGCTTTTATGACATCTACAACTGGAAACCTATTAATCAGAATGCAAATAAGAGATTTTGGAATATTTTACAACTTTTAACTTATAAGAATTTATAACATTTAACCAATATGCATGCAACTGACAAATGGGAAAAATTGTTTTTAATATTTATTGCTTGCAAATAAATGTGTTTTTAATGAATGCAGAACTTTTGCTTTGATGATTGCCTAAATAATGAACGTAAATCAGAAAAATTAAATTTTGTTATTTGTTTATATTAAGGTTTGTTTTCAAATTGGAAATTCTGGTACAAAATATCTGATACATTTCACAAAGCCTTTGATGACAATTCTTTATCCAAAGCAAACATTTTTTAATTCCACAAGTTGTTTAAGGAAGATAGAACATGTCAAAGATAAACACAGTCAAGGACAAAGAATGTATCAATGATTTGCTCTAGTAGACCATCCACTTCAATTAATAAGCAAAATGTTGATCAAACCAGAAGTCTGATGCTTAGAGAAAAATGGTAACATCACATCGTTTATGCTTTCAGCACATTACTTCTCAAATTGTTTCAAAAACAACATGTTCAAGTCACACAGGAAATTATACTTTCTCAAAGTAGTTCCTTCTAAATCACAATAATTATGATGAACTATGGCTCTATGCTTTTCATGCAGAAATAACTCAACAATCAAATAAATGATGCTTGAAAGGTGAATCAAGACTGAAAAGACCACATCAAGGTTAACTAAAAATCAAAGTAATGTTGACTAGTTTCTTCAATTGTCTTGGTGCTGAATTTCTACCAAGTGACCAAAATCTTAACAAATAATATTATTTGAATATTTTGTGAGAAAATGACTTAAACTGTGATGAGATGATCATGCATTAGCTCACAATACTCTTTCTTCATGAATTTTAGGCCAAAATTCTACAATATGCTCTTCAAGCTCTGTATTCATCTGACATAGCAATGCGAGACTCTTTCTTACTTCCATAATTAAAACTGTCATTTTGTACTCACCATTTTAAGTTGATTGACACAATAAAATTCACTGCAAGTCCTGAAGGGTTTTCATAAAAATAGTATGATACAGTGCAGATAATGATTTATGCTTTTATTAATTAGTAATAGCATTATCTTTTATACTTCTTAGTCTCTTAGTAGACTAATTAGTAATAGTACTATCATTTCTACTTCTTAGGCTGTTAGACATCTTGATAGGCAATACTATATATAACTGAATAAAAGATATTCAGACTATAAAACCAAATATCTAATTTTGGGAGAAATACCTGGAATACTGTATACTAGTAATTTTGTCAGCATCATGACAGATTCAGAAACAAAAGGGAGGAGATTCAAAACATGCCAGCTTAAGGAGTAGCTATATCATATGTGCTAGATTAAAGAGGTAAAATCTGAAATTTTGATTCATCTTCTACTGGAAGTTTACCAACAACTACAACATCTTCCAAAAAAAAAAAAATTCTAATCCTGCCTTCCATTAGTAAATGCCTAAAAATGGCAATTTTTCATTAGTCAAGCAAAGAAAGTGGATGAGTATGCAGTAAAAATTGTTGAAAATGCTACCAAAATGAAAACATATAAATACCGGTTTAATATACATATAGTCACCGAAAATAGGTAATATGGTGTTTGTCACTTTCTTTTCTATACCCAAAGAAAATCTCTTTTCAGCAATAGCACTCACTTTTAGATCATCAAAAATTATTCATTTTCAGAAGCTTCTTCTAATGAAATTAATTCCACATATACAAAGGATCATACACATAAAAAGAAGATAAAATGTCAGAAATGTGAAGGCCGAAAGAATTACATTTGCATCCATCAATGTGAATAACACCTATATCCACTTCCTCCAATTACTGAATGCCTGTCTTCAAAGCATTAATGACTATTTTTTAATGTTTCACATTACATTCAAAATAGCATTAGAAATGTTTTATATTACATTTCAATATGGCTTTAGTTATCTCATCTTTGCCACAGCAAATTATTAAATTGAATCTTAGTGTCATTCAAAATAATGTCTTCAAACAAATAGTCTGAGCAACAAAATAAATGCCAGTCAATGTTACCTAATCAGAAACTCTATGAAACTATAAAATCCTACATGAAAAATAACTTAAATTAATAAACTAAATAATTATAAAATTGCAGCATAATTCACCTTTTAAATTAACTTTCAGATTTAAAGCATTTGCAGCCCAAATAGCTGCAGCCACACAAGCAGCTCCTCCCATATCACCTCGCATCTTATCCATATTGGAAGATGGTTTCAAAGATATTCCTCCACTGAAATATAATAAATACAAAAATAGATTAATCAAGATGAAAAAGATTTACTATTTTAGAATAAAAAATACCAAATAATAAAAAGCATTTTTATCATCAAAAATTACTTTCCTTTTATATAAAGCCAAAAATGCAAACATACCTATCAAATGTGATGCCCTTTCCAACTAAGGCAATGCTTTTGTCATAATCAGGTTGACCATTATAGTGAATTTCTAAAAATTTAGGTGGTTCATCAGAACCCTTAGTAACACTTAAAAAGGCTCCCATTTTTTTAGATTTAATCCAGTCTTCATCTCTAAATTAATAGATAACATTAACAATTACACACAAGAATTAAATTCACATATTTTATGCAATATTATCAAAATCATGTTTTTTAATTATATAAGGTTTATGAATTATCTTTTCCAGAGTTTTAAAAGAACAGAATTATGTATGGAGTTTTAAATTGTACAAGATTTTTGTTAATTTTTATTTACAATTCTACTGACAAACCAGTGAATTAGATATAACTAGCATGCTGGCAGTACAGCATTACACAGTTCTGGCTAACAAATTCATCCGATTTTGTATTTCACATTCAGAGTAATATTTGAGTTTCTGATGAGTAAGACCAAGATTTCAACTGATTTGACCATAGCCAGATTGTCAAGGCCAGATGTATGGGTTACGCAAGCACTGAACTTTTCATACGCCACCATATATATCAAAAGTCTACTATAAGCAACCGGATCCTGATAAAACCACTGTTGCCAAAGTTAACTGTCATACAGTAAAATATGTTGATGAATGGATTCACTACCAGTTAGCTTAAATGTAAGAGCAGATAGATGGGCCACCCAGAAGATACTCATAAATTCAGTGCTGAAAAGCATAAAAGTATGAGGAGTCATACCATTACCTTGCTTTGGGGTGCAAAAACCATTATGTCACTAAGGTACTTCTCCTCAAACACGACACAAAGCAAAGAGATCAACAAGGATGAAGAAACACCATCACTGGACTCTCAAAGCATGCAAAACAGTCGAATGGATTGATGACTCTAGGTACCAGTTAATATATATCGATGGCAAACTATAAGTAGCCCACAAGATGATGGATCTCTCTTGCCAGGGTGCAGTTCAGGTAATTCAAGGTGGTAGCCTCATGTGCAGAATGTTTACATAGAAGAAATGGATATTTTGATATCATAATTTCTTATGAGGGCACAATATAGAAGACTGCCAAATCAGATACACTCATTTGTTTCTCTACACCAGCTTTCAGAAGCAATGCATCTACAACAGAACAACACATGAGCCCATTGTTCCTAAACGGCTCAAGGAACATTTCATGAACATGAGGATGTTTGCCTAGCCCTTTAGGTCACTGACCTCAGATCCTATTGAACATATCTAAACTGCTATCAAGAGAGATATGCATACATTGAGCTCTATGAAAATGTGAGGAGCTGTGCAGCAGACACGGGCTATCATAAACCCTTAATACTTCCATTATCTTGTGGAATCCATACTGTGCATGCATCATCACAACAAAAGCAGACACTACATGCTATAAGGCAGCATTTCTAATTCAGGTGTTCATCAGTGTATTTAAGATATTATAAAGAAATTTTAATGCAAAGAAAAAAAAAGCCCTGAACAATTAATGCAGAAAAATAAACTCACAAAGGAGCACGGCAAACATTTGAAAGATATTCGATATTATTTCTAATAATCTACTATGTTGTATTTTGGCCCTGGATTTACGATACATATGTATATCAATGCTTGGAACAGCTTTTCATATTTCAGTTAATCATCAAAATGAAACATATTTGATACTCTTTAACAGCTTTTGAATAGCAGAAAACTTTTTAAAGTATTTCTATAAAAAAAACAGTATTTCTTTAAAAAATCAGTCCAAAAAAATGGATTTTGAACTATGGTATAAACAGAGAAGTTTCATTATTCCATCATTCGGAAACAATTAAAGAGTAGCAAAATCTCTCTACTTTCCTTATATTTGCTGAGAATTGTACTGTTATATCAACAACCTATTACTCTGTCTATCTTTTTTTTCGGGGGGGGGCTAGGAAGATTAAAGTAAAAATAACAGTGGAGTGGTTTCATTTAAAATGAGCATTATACTAGTTTTTAACTAAAAGTATTTTTCAGAGAAATATTAGATTGCCTAATGCAAACCCTTATACTTTTCCGCATGCAAATTTCATGCTTTCATCTAAAAAAGATGACTTAAATTAAAATTTCATTACTCTTAGTTAAAACTTGTATCATAAAAGAATCATAATCATATATAAAAATCCTAACTGTAAGCTGTAGCAGCTGATTTTCAAGCTAGAGCAGCACAATTAAAAAACAAATAAATAAACCATGAAATATATGCTACCTAATAATTACTTCCACAGAAGTATCCTTAAATTTTTCCGCAACAGTTTTTGAAAAAATAGTCGGTGTCATAAGATTTGCTGGAGTTTCTGTCAGAGAGCGAGCAAAATTTTGACTTTCAGCAAAAAGCAAACCTCTTTTAAATAACATCAAACTTTCTTCTAGTACACTAAAAAAGAATAACACACATTAAAAATAAAACTTCCAAAACTATGAATAAAAATTAACACATTTTATCACTGCATGCCTAAATAATGCAACAGTAAAAATGCATAACATAGGAAATCTTTTAGAATTTTTTTAAAATTATATGCTCTTTAATACTGAAAAGACTCCATATATATATTAAAAATATAATACTCCAATACAGTCAAAAGTCGTTAATTCGGACACCCATAATCCGGACCTCAAAGCACGCATGCGCATAGGCGTTTACGCGTGCGCGCAAGACCTTTACGGTTGCGAATATACATGTGCGCATGAGCATAATACATTTACGCATGCGTGTTTAATGTATAACGGACGGTATAAGCTAAAATTATCTAATTATCTATTTCAGTTAGTGTTGCAGATTGCGTTGTTCTTTAATCTTCAAAATGGATCCGGCTTATTATTTTTTTGCAGACTGTTAGAGCAATTTTATAAAAGTAAGCTTGAACTTCCGATTATGTCAAATAGAATTTCCGATATATATTTACTAATATGTAAAGGATCTACAAAGCGAAAGTATGTTTCAAAGTCCATTAAACAGAAAGTGGAATTGCTGCAAAAAATGGATAAAGGCATATCCTTTGATTATCTAATCATTTTGAAATATGTTTATCAATTTCACGCTGCTCTGCGGGGGAAGGGAAACGACACGGCGCCCAATGAATTGGAAGTTGAACTGTCAGCACTATCCTTATCTTTTATTTGGCTTATAATTATTTACTAAATGTAGTATTTCATCTCAATGTACTCGGTCTTTGATATGATTTAAATCAAGTTCCTCGTCATTATAATTCGCTTCTGATAGTGGAGAAAGTGACTCAGAGGTTATTGAAAACAAAAAAATTTTGATAGACAAATTAGTTGGTATTCTCGACATAGCAATTATAGGACTTGAACAGCAGAACTTTGTAAATAAACAAGGAATTATATCTGTTTAATAGAATTAAAGAGAAAGTATTATCACATGAAACGAAGCAAATTAAACAACTTACATTGAAAGAAATGTTTAATAAAGTAAACAAATAAATATTTAGCTTTTTCTTTTTGTAAATTTTGATACCCTTTAGATCATAATTGCTCTTTATTTCATAAACTACAGTTTCATATTTTTAATTTTATAATTTCTGCATGCCATCTTACCAAATTTAAACTGATGATCTATAATCCGGAAAAATCGATAATCCGGAATCGCCGAAGTTCCGACAAGTCCGGATTAACGACTTTTGACTGTATATATTAAAAAATAATGCAACAACAGAATATGAAAAGCAATTATAGTAAATAAATTCATTATTTTGAAAACCCTTTCAAGTGAATGTAATGCAATAACTTATGATGATGATCTCCACTGATGCATTTTTTTGCAATGTATCATGTCTGCTTGTCAGTACCCACATCAGTATGTCTTGCACATTATAAAATGTTGTATATGTTATATGCATCAACAATAGTAAAACTAAGTTAAAGGAAAATGTGAGGAGATTAGATTAATTTCTGTTTACAGATAAAAGGAAATTAACTTGGAATGAGAAGCACAGTAAACACAAAAGGAAATGTGTATCAATCTTTATGAACATCAGAAAAATTTTATGGTATAATGTTCTTGAAATCAGTTTCAGCATTAAAATAGTTTGTAATACACATTAAGCAAAATTTTAATAGGTTATCAATTATCTGCAACCCCATTCTAACTCACTGGTGACTTGGAAAGAAGCCGTGATTTGGAAATCTTAAAGGTACAATTTTGTTCATAAATGGTAATAAAAAGAAAACATTTTACAAGAAAAATGAAAATTTGTATGAACAATATTTACTTTTCTACAATGCTCACTGTTCAGCAAAATGATAGTTAAATTTAAAGCATGTAAATCTACATGTTCTCAATCACATGTGTGTTACATACGTGTACTAGTTGGCTCTTATCGCATGCATATTAAAAAATGCAGGAAAAAAAAAATCTGAAAGGTTTCAGATTTTAAATTACATCCATAAGGAGCTTTTTTTAACATTCTGTGTGTTAACTTTATTTATTAAACATCATGTTCTTTGCATTTAAACCATAAAATTCAGTTCAATAGCAGTGTCACAAAATAATTTTAAAATGAGCATAATTTTTTTAATTTCCGATACACAGTTCTGCGCGCTGCAGATAAAAAGGCTCCCCCACCCCCCGTAGAGTGTTGCCATTGCTCGCTTTTAAATCATTGAGTTTGTTACTCAAAAATTCGTTAAAGCTTTACAAAACATAAAATCAATAATAAAACAAATTCCAAATTTGGTTTTCTACATACCCATATTCGTAGGAGGATTACGTCATTCAAAATTTGATGGCCCTGTGTACCATTGTTTTATAAAAATGCAAGAAATAAACATACATTTATCCAGATTTTTCATTATTTAATTTCTTCAAATATAATGCACGACTCTAACATTTAGTGACAACAGTTTGAAAAGTGAATGTGAATCGTTGTTTATAATGATTCAACACAAAATCGAAAAACAAAAACAATAAAACAATAGTTCTTCAGGGATAAAGCCCCCTTTGGACTAAAAGTTCAATAATTCTACTGTAAATAGAAACTGGAGTGTGAATAACCAGACAGAGCTGAACTTTTGCATGAAATGTCATGACCTTTTCTTTATCTGTTTTAGGCAATTCCAGCATAATTTTTTTTAAAAAAAGGACTTCCTATCACATTTATTATGTTACTAAGGTTTGCAGCATTATACTTAATATGATAGTACATAAACCAGAACTGCAGAGGTAATTTTACAGCAATGTTTAACCCTTTGCGGCGCACTATACGTTAACGTAGGAATTTCAACAAAAAAAGTTGTATGCAGTCTATTTAGTCCTAAAGGAGTATACAGGTAAAATTTTGTAAAAATTGCACTTACCGTTTTAATTCTGTGGGTGTTCCATGAGGTGGAACACTGCACCGCCAGAGCTTTTAAAAGTGCGATTAAGCGAGCATTGCAGTAAAGCACGAAAATGAGTAGAAGCATTTGTATAAGAATGAAAAAACTCTGTATTATGGCTGTATACATGGTTTCCTGAATATACACAATATTCTTGAATATATACAGATAAATGAGATAAATATCTATATACACAAGTCCTACATATAAAAATATTTACAAATTTTTGGAAAGAGTTAGACCTCTCCGCGCCATTTATGGAAAATTAATAACAAAAAAATTAACTACGATTAATATTAACAATAAAGAAAAACAAGCCTATAATATATACATACACGAAAAATATCTAAACAATTATTGAAAATAAATGGGAATGAGACTAAAATGCGACAGCAAAAAATTCGTGCAGGTCTAAGTAAAGATGAGTCAAGCTACTAATAAAATTCCCGCCTAAATTTTTATCCAACATACACACATACACTGGTGTGCAAAAATTAAGGACGAAGTCGAAAAATTAGCATATCAGCTGAACGAAGAGGCAGAGCGGACAGACAGACCAATCCGAGATTAAGTAAGATGATGTACGGTAGCACATGCGCAGATATGCAGGTAGACGTAATGGGGGAGTGTCTGAGTAGTATAAAGCATGTTGTCGGTGTAAGATCAGTATTTCTGGCAAAGAGATTGCACGCCGTATAGCAGTTAAAATCACACCGAGTTGCTGCCTCTGCGAGAAATGGCGAATAATCAATCTGTTAGACGACATCTGGATGCTTTTACCCCCAGGTCGAATCATTGGAAGTTGGAGGAAGGCCGCAGGTGACAAGTGTGGCTGCAGAGTTCGGAATTGCTAACAGCATCGTTTCACGACCTTGGAGACAATTTCAAACTACAGGAACAGCTATCTGGGGGTTTAGTAGTGGTCGTCCACGAGGAACCACACCCGCAGATGACCAGTATATTGCCTTACAGGCCAGAAGAAACAGGCGGCAGACAGCGGAAGAAATCGCTAGACACACGACACAGGCGACTGGACGACCGACATTGCGTTTTACCATGGCCAGAAGACTGCACGGTGGTGGTCTGTTTGCACGACGCCCTGTACGGTGTGTACCTCTAATGCCTGCCCATCGGAGAAGGCGTTCTCTGTGGTGCCGGGAACACCGGAATTGGAGAGACAATGAATAGGGACGAGTACTCTTTACAGATGAGAGCAGATTCAGTCTGAGTAGCGATTCTCATCGCATACTCATCTGGAGAGAGCAGGGAAGCCGCAATCATCCCTCGAACATCATTGAAAGGGACAGGTATGGAGGTGGTGGTGTTTGCGTTTGGGGAGGCATCATGCTTGGTAGTCGTACAGACCTTCACATCTTCGACGCAGGTTCAGTCAACGGGACCCGTTATTGTAACGAGATTCTTCTTCCATATGTGCATCTTTTCAGAGGCGCTATGGGTCTGCAGTTCCTTTTCATGGACGAAAATTCACCATGTCATCGCACAGTAGCTGCCGAACAGCTCTTAGAGAGTGAGGATATTGAACGTATGGATTGGCCGGCACGATTTCCGGATCTCAATCCCATCGAGCATGTATGGGATTTTTTAGGCAGACGCTTGGCAGCTCGTACCTTACCACCAGTAACGATTCCGGAGCTTCGATTGGCGCTGCAAGATGATTGGGCAGCAATGCCTCAACAACTCATTGACACCCTCATTTTCAGCATGGGCAGACACTGTGAAACCTGCCTAGCAGTCAGGGGAGATCATATCCCCTATTAAAGACCGGATGTTTCTTGCTGGACACCCATCGCAGGGATGTTTCGGCCTTCAGTCGCATTGCGCTCCATGCTACTTTTTCAATAAAGCTTGTTTTTATCCCTCTGATTTCTCTTTTAGTAAGTGTTGCTTACATTACTCATGTCCTTACGTATTGGGGATCTTACGGTATTAAATGTGTTGACTTGGAAAGCTTTTGTACAAAGTTATATTGAAAAAACCGTCTCGTCCTTAATTTTTGCACACCAGTGTATATTTACATAATATTCATAGGCTGTTTATCATTCAACACACTAATGATATAACATTTACTATTATTCAGCAAAGCTGAAAAGGCTGGGTACTTTTCTGTTAAAGCCACACCATTTCGTGCCTGTTTCTTTTAGTATTATCATTATTATTGGCATATTTTGTAGGTACCAAGCATCACATTTTTTGTTCGGCTTCTTTTCTGGTGTAATCATCTCTATAATATCACTCATGCAACCATGTTTTATATTTAATCATCACATTTTCATTTATTTATTAATATTTTTTACGGTAACAGATTTCATTATTTGGGATTTGCCAAAAAATGAATTAGTTGCCCTTCTGTTTTTTTGATCTTGCAGGAAAGAAAAAGGTGTCTGAACACAAATATGGTTTGCTGGATCCTGCATTTTTTTTTTTTTTTTTTCTTTTATGATGCATTATTTATTTACTTATAGTATTAAGAATTAATGCCTGTTGCATTTCACAACAGCTTAAAATGAATCACAACACATAATGGTTGATTCAAATACTTACATTTAAGAAGTATATGCCAAATCCTTGTTATCTCTTCCCAGCATTAAAATCAGTCAATACAAAATAATTGTAGAAATTTACAAATAGAAAAAAAATCGAGTAGGCCATATTCTTTTCCCACAAGAGGTTTTGGGGAAGCTGTGTCGTGACACTGCAGAATGCTTCATTGTTGCTGTTCCTGATCATTCTGACAACACTTTAATGACTGTAATCAGGGAGAATGTACAGATGGAACTGTAACATTTCGAGCGCAGAATTGGATATAACAACTTCAATTTGCAAGTCTTTAAACATAAAATCTACACAGTAAACCAATTTTTTAACTTTTAACAATTTTTTTTTTTAAGTAAAAGCTAGAAAATATTTAAAAAAAAAAAAAAAAATTCTGGGATAAAAAATGTAAATTAATTTAAAAAATGCATAGAATGGCTTTAACAGAAAAGTATGTAAAACTGACAGGTATGCTATTTAAAAAAAAAAAAAACAGCATGACAGAGATATGACACAAATTTTCAACCTCTGTAAAAATTTTAAATATCGTAAATGATTTACATACAGGTGGCAAAAGAATGCAAATTAGAATTTTTAATTGGCAGTATGGTATTTTCATTCGTTCAATTGTACGATACATGTATAAATAGCAACCAAATATTTTACTGTAATGAAATACCAAATCATAACTTTACATGCTAAAATATTCCTAAAGATCTTATATATACATATATAATTAAAAATTTTGCTCTTTTATAAATAAAAAAAGACTATACAAATAAAAAAAAAGACTAAAAAAAAAAGACTAAATTTTACCTAGAGGACTTGTACAAATGTAATTGACTTTTTGGTTTACGAGATGATTTTTGTTTTAACTCATCATAAGAATAAAGAGTTAAAGCAGCAGCTTCTGCAACACCTAAAAAATTTATCAATAAATAAAATAGTAATGGAATTTTCTTGTCCGATCACACAAATACAGGTAGATTGCCTTTAAAAATATAAAACATGCACAGGTACAGGGTGGTTATATTTAAAGTGACCCTATTCAGACACTTATAGATCTTGTTCTGGCTAGCGGATTTTGATGAAACTTGGTAAATATGTTATATGGACTATGGGGAAAAGATTTCTGCAATTAAAAAACAGTTCAAATTTTGACCACCAGACGGCAATTTTCAAAACTTCCTTATGCAAATTAGTCAAACCTATACAGAGACTTGCAGCCAGAGCCAGAAAAGCATTCTGTGTGCCTTTGTCATCGTTAATCATGCCCTTAAAGAAGAAAGATTGAGCTTTACTGGTAAAACTGTTTTATCAGGCCACTGTTTTCATGCACGATGAAGCAAATCCCCACATTGGATGCCAAGTCAAAGAACTGCTTCATGCTAACTTTGGTGAGAATCATGTAATAATATCCAAAGCTCTTCCGGATGCCTGGCCTCCTCGTTCATCTGACTTAAATCCCTGTGATTTCTGGTTATGGGGATTCCTAAAAGACTGTTTATGGAGGAGGAATTATAACTGAGTTGAAAGCCAGCATTACACACCATCTTGTTGAAATCCCTCGAGAGTTATTTCGCGCTACTATTGAACACACTATAAGGCACTTTCAACATGTAATCGATGATAATAGAGCACACATTGAGCACATTCTGTATTGAATAAATTTTAATGATTCTAACATATTTTTTGTCCTTCTTTAGACATCACAATTCTCCCTGGTGGTCAAAATTTGAACATTTTTTTATTATTATTGCAGAAATCATTTACCCATGGTCCATATAACATATATACCAAATTTCACAAAAATTCAATAAGTAGAATGGGTTCTAGAGTGGTCTCAATAGGGTCACTTTAATTATAATCACACTGCACAAAAAAGTAATTTCATTTTTGATGGCATTATAGCAAATATAAACTAAAATAACATAGTCTGTTCCCAAAAGCTTCTTCAAATTGGTAAGATTATCAAGACCCAAGCTCAGTCTATCTTACAAGTATCAAAATTAAGATAATACAAGAATAGGAACAGATAAATTAAAGTACTTGTATACATAATATTTCCAGATATTCTCTAAAAGTTCTTAGTTAAACAATAATTTGTGGTTATGGAAAACTCATAGCAGAAGGGGAAAAAAAAAAAAAAAAAAGCTTGCTTTAATCTACCAATTTTTACTGATATTATAAGTGTTTATTTACTGTACAATGTACCCAGAAATTTCCCTAAGATTTTCACCTACAAATGTAGTTTTGGTCTCCTGTAAAAGTACCGTATTTGACGGCATATAAGACGCACCCTTATTTAGAAGACCACACACAAGGAAAAAAGTTTCAATAGTCCGCGCGACAGCGCGTTACCACAATAACTTAAAATGTGGTTTCTTTTAGTTCTCACGTTTCGTAAAAGCCAAATAAACAATCATTGAATGCCACTTAACCAAACATATTTTTATTAAGGAAAATTAACAAACGGCAAGCTATTTTGAACTTGATATGTAAATTTTAATAATGAATAAATGAATGAACGGCAAGCAATCAAACATAATACAAAATAAAGCAGAAACAACAAAAAACACAGATTCAAGGAAAACGTTGCCTATCATGAAATTAGACTTTAATCACTTTCAAAACCATAAAAATCCTTTTCACTATATATCATCATCGAAACGAGAATATCGTCAACACTACTGTTTCCGTCATCGCTAGTATCACCTTCTTCGAATAATGCGTCGTCTTCTGTTCCGTCAAGAGCATTACTGATTCCGCACTTCTTAAAGGACTTAACAATTACTTCAGCCTTTACGTCCTCCCAAGATCTTTTTACTCACTCGCACACTTGTGAAATAGAGGGCCGCTTTCATTCTACCTGAGGGTGTGAGGGCGTGATGTGGCTCTCCTATCCACTTGTTCCATCATTCTCGCACTTTTTCCTTAAATGGCTTATTCACCGATACATCTAAAGGCTGCAATTGGCTAATGAGTCCACCAGGAATGACAGCAATCTGGGTTTTTAATTCTCTCACTTTATTCTTTATGGTTTCAATTCTATGGGCACTAAACTGATCCAAAGCCAAAAGAGAGGGTTTTCTTAAGAGTCCACCAGGTCGCCTTCCCCATACGTTCTGTAACCACAGTTTCATTGTCCATCCAGCATTTCGGATGAACATTAACAATTACACCCGTTGGAAGTTTTTCTTTTGGATGAGTTTTTCTTTTGAATATGAAAGACGGCGGTAGTTTTGTGCCATCAGCACAACATGTTAAAATTACCGTATATTGGGTTTTTTCATGATCTGTGGTTTTTATGGTTAGTGATTTAGACCCTTTAATACTCACAGTCTTTTTGGATGGTACATCAAATGTGAGTGGAATTTCATCCATATTTCCTATTTTACCGAGCTCAAAAGAAGTTTTCTTGCGTGCATTTATAACAAACCTATGAAATGCTTGTATTTTTTCTTCATAATCTGCTGGCATTTTCTGTGCAATAGTTGTTTTTGTGCACTTTGATAAGCCTTGCCTTTTCATGAACCTGTAGCACCAACCCTCAGACCCTGAAAAGTTCTGATTCCCATGTTCTTCTGCAAATTCCTTTAGTTTCATTGATTATCATTTTAGGTTGAAACATGTATCCCAGATTTCCTCTTAATCTATCACCTACATTTTTACGGCATATTTAAGTTCAGGCCATGATGGAGCTGGGCATCGAAGGTTATGTTTTTGTTTTTTAGCAGTCTTCAGTTGATCTTCCTGCAGTCGCCAAGTAGGTATCATTTTTTTCGGTAGGTGGTGGACCGAAATGCCTTGCAGCTGCTCTGTTTCCCTGCACTTTGGCGTAGTTTAACACTCCTAGTTTATACTGAATTGTATAGCTTAATCTCTTGTTTCCTGTAGTTATATTTTCCAGGGTATTTTTTTAAAACAAATAGTTATAAGCACCAGTACCGACATGTTTATACAGAGTAGCACCTATACCGACATGTGTGTCGGCTGAGTCAAAGAAAGGGAAGGCTCCATAGACGTAATGTGACCATCGAACCTGTTCGAACTTCGACATCAGCTTCGAGCTTTGGCACTTTTTCGTGACAGATATTTCACGCATGCGCAAAATAATTATGGCAGATGTAGAAAAAGTTATGTGGATCTAGACCTTTATCCGGGCTAAAAATAGCATTCAGTATTGAAAAGTTAACCTGTGTCCTTCACGTATAAGACGCAGGTAACTTTTTTGAGACCAAATTTTGTAAAAAAGTGTGTCTTATATGCTGTCAAATACGGTAGTTACTTTAGAAATCATGAGTATCAGTGATGATGATTATTGATTAGCATAATGGCTTCATTCAACTCATGACTCTCAACCTAAGTTGAATCAAAAATACTCAAGCAAAAATGAAACTTCTAGTTTTTTTTTTTTTTTTTAATTAATAAATGACAAACATGAAATAATAAAAATTAACAATTTATTGCAAAGATAAGGAAATCATTGGATACTGTAATAAGACAAAAGCTTTATGAAGAATGGATATATTACAGTTTATTCCATGAAATACTATTTAATAGATAAACTTTTAAAATATGGAATATAAATCTTTTAAGTAAAGGTGTAGCAGGGGAAAAATACACTGCTGGCCACCGTAAATGCAACACTATGAAAGAAGCATGCCAATAACACGAAATTTACAACATGCATTAGCAGAGGTGAGATATGCAAATGATTAGAATTCGAGTGCAGACGCACATCACACGCGCCTGTGGAGCCACTTCAAAGCGCTATTTAAGGCTTGGAGTTTTTGATGATTTCAAGTTAGCCATTGTGTTTTTCTTGTGGTTTAAAAAAAAAAAAAAAAATCAATTATGCCTCATAGTAAACAGCGATCATCGTTTGATCACGTATCCAAGTTCGACAGAGGGAGGATTGTGGCCTACCGAGAGTGTAGATTATCTTTCAGAAAATCAGTAGTTGTGTTGGACGAAACCAAACAACTGTAATGCGGATATGCGACCGTTGGGTGCAGGAGGGTACAACGGACCGACGCATCCACCTCAGTGCACCACTTCAGGTGATGACAGGAACACTGTGTGCATGGCAGTGACGGATTGCTCAGTCACATCATGATCCATAGCATAGCACATTCAATCTGTAACGCATCATCCAGTGTGTGCGCATACCATTCGACGCCGTTTACAGCAGAGTGGTCTGTCCGCAAGACGTCCATTGCTTCGTCTACCCTTGATGCAGAACCACAGATGTCTCCGCTGCCAATGGTGTGATGAAAGAAGGATAAAGACGGCAGAATGGAATGAAATTGTCTTTATGACGAGTCACGCTTCTGTCTGCAATACCACGATGGTTGGATTCCAGTCTGGAGATACCGTGGAGAGAGGATGCTGAACAGCTGCGTTATGCACCCCCACACTGGTCCTGCACCGGGTATTATGGTTATGGGGCGGTATTGGATATCACTCATGCACTCCTCTAGTACGCATTACAAGTACTTTAAACAGCCAGCACTACATCTCCGAGGTGTTGGAGCCAGTTGTCCTTCCTTACCTTCAGGGCTTGCCCACAGCCATATTCATACTTGCCAACCTATGACACTCAAAAATCAGGAGATTTTTCACAATGTTAAAAATACTTTTTAAATGATAAAAATATAGTTTTTAATGATGAATTAACTTTAAATAGTTACTAAGTCTTAAATGCAAGCAAAAAAAAAAAAAAAAAAAAAGACACTTTAATCAGTTTTCATACAAATGTTATGGACAGTGGCAGATTTTGCTTTTGTTATGAAAGAAACTTCATAATTTTGTTCATAGCAATTGCCACGTAGGCCTGCTTTCGCTAATAAAAGTTTTTCTAATGTATCATCACTAATATTAGATCTAAATTTAGTCCTCGTTTTCGCAACAACACTGAAAATCCTCTCACACTCTGCATTACCATGGGGAACTGTCAAGATGGCCAACATAATTCTAGAGAGTTCACTATATTTTAAAATTCCATCAGCACCTATCAGTTTTCCAATTAAACTCCACTGGGTGTCAATCCTAGATAATTTTATAACTTCATCCAAGTTTTCTAATTGTAAACTGCAAAATTGTGACTGCAGTATATCAGTAGCAACATCATTATCGTCATCTTTCATGACTAAACGAAGTAACACAGGAAATCTGTTCAAAAAGTACCTTATATCAGAAAAAGATGCATTTGCTAGAGCAGAAACATCAGCAACTTTAGCATGCAAAAATCAGTTCATCGTTGACTGGAAATTTATATAGTATGTAATCACATACTCGACAGAAGTAACTTCTAACATGAAGATAAAGCTTATTTTTGTTTTCTTCTGAAAGTTCTTCCACTACTTTTGTAGTTGCAGCTCCTATTACCAAACCTTCATCTTTCTTCTGATTTTCTGTTTCACCATAAGTCACACCATATATAGAATTACAAGACAAAACACAGACTGGTTTTACAAACTTTGATAAAATGTCTTTAAACAGATCATAAATCATTGATTGCAAAACATGAATTAATGGAATTCTGCTTTGTAGAATTGCATTAAGAACATCGAATGATGGCAAAATGAATTGTAAAAAAAAGCAAAAAGCTTTGTTAAGGTCCGAAGAAAAAAACATAAATATTCGTTCTTCACAAGATAAACTTACAGTAATCGGAAAATGTTTCATGTGTTGAGCAATTTTTTTATTTTGAGAGAAATTTGTATCAGCTTTACACTTATATTTTGCAGTATTATTTTGAGAACTGCCAGTTGAATTGCTGAATGATGCAGAAATTACTTTATTTTTCTCAAACCTATTTTTAACAATGGAAGTAATAACTACATCTCCATTTACTTTAGGTACTTTATAACTTTCAATAGAGCCTTTTATCTTAACTCTCGAAGCATTTACTTCTTCTTTAAAAAATGCAAGAAGTGGGTTCCAATGATCGAGGATTCTAGATAAGCATTTCTTTAAAGACAGCCAGCATGTACACACATTTTTCAAAATTTTTCTTATTTTAGTATTATGCAGCTGTTGGAACTGTGTCAATTTTTTCCTTTCTTTTAGAACTTCTTTCAAGATAATAATAAATATCAACAATGTGTTCATCCACATTTATTGGTAAAGAAGCAACTCCTTTTTCAGCTGCTAAATTTAAGAGGTGACAGGTGCACTTCATAATCTGCAAATCTGAATTTGCCTTTCTTAAGATGCCTGCAATACCAGTCTTCAAGCCTACCATTACTGGTGCATTATCGGCACCAAGTGCTAAGCAATTATCCAGAGGGACTGCATTTTCTTTTTAGGTTTTAATAATTAGCTGCGCTATATTAAAGCCTGTCGAATGCCCTTCTAAAGTGGGTACAGAAAGTAAACTGCACTCAATTTCTGAAGACGCTGGATTAAAAAAAGAAACAACAATTGGATACAGTTTTGAATCAGTATTATTGCTTCCATCCGTAGAGAGGCACACCGGAGCTGTTTTAATGCAATCAATAACTGAAGATTTATTTTTCAAACCCATTTCTTTAACAATTGCACCTGTTTTGATTCTTGCACCTTAAGTATTTCTTGGCGATTTCACTATCGGGAAACATTTTTCTAAATAAAGCTGCAGCGTGATCCGATGCATTCAGTAGCAGGTTGTGCTCCAGTAAAAAGGCAGAGATAGACATTCTGCATTAATAACTTTTTGGTCCTTTTTCCGAAGAAAAATTTAATTTTTCGTTTTTTTCAAAACAACTCATGTTATCCTTGTGTTTTTGTGTACGCACATGTTTGAGAACATCTGCCCTTCCACCATGCGAAATCGAAAAATCGCAACGACAGATGGTACACATCGCAAATTTATTACATTTCCTTGAAGAAATAATGGAAGGAAAGTAACTGTGTACAATTTTTTAAACGTGCACGAGTATTTCACCTTTCTCGCAGACATAACAAAAGACGATAATTTCTAAAACTATTTCCCAAACGCACGTGTACTCACACCCCTCAGGACAAGATGAACGAAATAACGAAAGACGAAAGAACATCCAAATAATGGCCAACAGCCTTGAGCTTGCTTTGTGCTCATTGGCTAATATATGCCAGATGACACGCAGTGGAGCTCGATGCCTATTGGAGAACTGGAGAACAACGTTTCTGGATACGTATGCTGTCACTCAAAAAGCAGAAATTTTCATCTGATTCGCAAGGTTTTATTTTAGATATAATCTAGAGAAAATTCAGTTGCTTTCAGACGTCCAAAATCACTTTTTTTTTGTGTGTGTGTGTGTGTTGTGTTCATATAATGAAGTATTAAGCCAAGTTCCATAAAAATCGTGAGAAATATTAAGAATTAAGAAAAAGTCGGGAGAAATATATTGTAAATCGGGTTGGCGGGAGAGTTGGCAACTCTGCATATTTTAACTGTATAATGCACGGCCACACGTGGCATGCATTGTCCAAGGGTTCTTTGTCAATCATTATATTGAATCGCTTCCCTGGCTGGCTCGCTCTTCTGATCTTTTGCCAAAAGAAAACATGTGGTCCATGGTTGCTGAACGAATGACCCAGATTACATCCCAAGCTGCCACACCAGATCAACTTTGGCAATGTGTGGAAGCTGCTTGGTCTGTGTACCCCAAGAACACAGCCAAAGTCTCTTTGAATAATGCCAAGGCGTGTGGCAGCGGTGATCTCCAACAATGGCGGCTACTCTGGCTACTGATTCTGGTAGAAACCACATTTCACAGAAGTATATAAATTTAATCATTTGATACTTGGTCAACATGTTATCTACTAAATAAATTTTGTTGTGATATCTCTTGTCTTTCTTGGTGTTGCAATTTGGGTGGCCAGGCAGTGTACATAAACTTCACACCACAAATTTTTCCACTATATTCACTAGTTCCACTAACACTTACTGCTTATTTAATAATCATTTAAATAAGCCTGCCTATTACTTTTGTTTAGCGATTTTTTTTTCTTTTTTTTTTTTTTTTTTTTTTTTTCTAAATGATTTGAACTTCATAAATAAATCAAATGCTTTATCATATCCAAGCTTGTAACCCAATTGTTTAAACTTGTGTATAAATAATTTTGAGCTTCATTTAAGGAAAAAGCTCATTTTTTTAGTACTTTCTTCCTTCACATTGAAGAACTTCATCCATTTTAAATTTGTGCTGATGCCAAAATAAACTTCTAATCTTGTCTGTGACATTATTTTTTGTAGGCTACTAGTTTTAATTTGTTCTTTTTTAAGCAATCTAAAATTCATAGCACATTTCTTAAAATATTACCCTATATTCTCTTTCATGCCATTACATGCTTCTTTTGTATATTTGAGTACAACAGTCAAAGAATGTTTGAAGCAGTTTATCCATATTTTCTAATGAATTCCTCATACATCCAATCAAAATGCTTTGAGAACCAAAACTAACTCAGTTTGACTTCATCCTGAACATTATGCACTCTCTTTCTACGCTTTGGTCTAGCTAGACTGCTGTCTGTCTGCTGCTGCTTTCTTACTACAAAGCTATCAAAAATGTAAGCCCTTTGAAACAGGCACATTTAATGTGCTGACTTGTGTGTAGCCGCCACATGTTGCTGAAAATAAAACTGAAGATTTAATCTGAATTCCCCTCCAATTTTTTAGTCATTATGGATCAACACTTCTACGCCATCAAAAATTCCTGCTCTTGAATATATTACATATATATCCCCATTTTGCCAAAAAATAAAAACAAAAGCATACAGAAGTTTGTTAGACCACTGAAATGTTAGATGTATTTAAAACAGCTCTTTGATGTTTCCAAAGAAACTGCAACTTCATGGTTAAATGCTTTTTTGAAATTTAAACCTCAACATGTAATGAACAAAAAGCTGCTATAGAAAAGAATGAAAAAATTATTACATTTTGGTAAGAGCTCTAATTTTTTTAAATGCAAATTTGCACTAAAATAAATTAGTACCATAAATAATATACAGAAAAGGAAACTTCACATACTTTGAGGAGAATCACAAGCATCTAGATAGATGTCTTCAAACTGAGAACATGCTCTTAGAGATTTGATTCCATCTAGTTAGAAAGCATACTTAAAATTATAGTAGAGAAAAAAAAGTTACTTTAAAATAAAAATATTATCATAAACACAAGCACAGATTAGTGTTATATATAACAAAATCAATACATAACATCTAACACATTATTTTTTCTTTTAAAATACATAATTTTTAGCTTTTGGATTTAGTATTACAATGAATACTGACAGATTACATCTAGCAATCAATGACAGCCAATTATTTTAATTTTCAATGACTAATTTACCTAATTAAAAGGAATTACAACAGCCTCATAAAATTTAGACTGTTTTACATACATTATTTAAATTCTATTGTTCCCCCAAATTAAAGCTGTTGATTAAAAATATACTGTCATATATCTCTAGTAGAATTCTGTGATAACATCTTTTATGGTAATATGGAAATAGAATGCAAGACTAGAAAGTAATTAATTCCAATTTAATTTCATATTTTCCCCTGATGCTTAATAACCTACTCAAAAATATTTGACTAAAAACCTTCAATAATATGCTATCATAATTTATGTACACTGCGAAAAAAAAAAGGGGGGGACAGTTCTATATCTCCCATTCTACTTGACCGATTGACAAAATTCAAATTGCGTTTTTCATGTCTTGAAAGCGCGACTTAGGATATATATTAGATTTATATACTATAGCACTATTCTAACATAGGTATTTTGACACAAAATCGGACTTTTCCTGAAATAGCATACCAATTTTTTTTCATATTTCGAATCTACGACTCAAAATATGCCAGAATGTCAAGTTTTGTAAAAATCGTACGAGTAGTTTTTAAAAAATTAGCTCTCAAAATTTTAGCTCCTCGATGTTAATTGAATTTGGCATATATTTATTAATATCTATTTTTTTATTAACTTCTTTGATTTTTCCTTTCACATTTCGAAATTTAGGTTCATTACAAATAAATTCACCCATTTTTTGTGTTTTATTTTTTAAATTTCTATTTTTAAATAATCTTTATAAAGTTTTCAAAAAAAATTTTGAATTATAATCTATAAAATTTTTACCATCATCTTAAAGTAGGTGTAGTTCTACGCATACCTGCAAAAAATTATAATTTTTTATTTAAAATTTTCTAAGATATACACAAATTTACATATTTGCAAATTTTAAAATTTGGCACCTTTTCCTTCAGCGATAATAACGCCAAATGTGGTTTACGAATTTTGTTGTGGTGAATTGTCACAGCTATTTTTAACCTTAAATTTCAAATAAATTTTTACAGGGAATTAACTAAATGATATTTTTCTCTCAATGATATGTAAGAAATATTTATTAATAATATATGAAAAGCTATTTTTTATAGATGATGATATTCAAATTTTTAATATTTTTTAATATTAATTTTTAATACTTTTGAATATTTTTCTTTCATCCTTTTTTTTTTAATTTTTACTTTCGCCGTGGTATCGTCTGCTAGTTTACTTTAACTTCATAATTGAATTGTCTGAAACTGAGAAAGTTCATTTGATGTTTATTTTCACAATGTTTTTAAGCAAAGAGGACATTGACAGTTTGGTCATGTCCCAGCTTTGAAAAAAATATATAAATATAAATTTTTACATTACTCCTCTTAGAAAGAATGTGTGGTGACTTGCCTACTACAACTCAACGCTGCTACTCTGGTAACCCATAGCAACAAAAGACAAAATAATATTTATTCTATTCTATTGTTATGATTATTAACGATCTGTCTCAATTATTGTACTACCTTAATAAAATTGTATTACCACAATTGGTGACCCGTATTTAATACGAATAGCAACCTTCAATGTTGCACGAATATGGAGTTTAAATATGAAAATTCTGAGCAACAGTAAGTTATCCAGTGTGATGAGATGCAAGTATGACATTTCACCTCTGATTTCAAGCTTTGTGCCGCATTCCAGTGAGTCAACATATTTCTGTCATAATTTTAGCGGATATATGTATCGTCTGCTGCATTTGAGCTGCAAATTTCTCTGATTTCAAGTATCAAGAAACTGTGTCGCTATATACATATTGATTATTTTTCTATACATATTATTATTGCACATATTCTATACATATTATTATTGCACATATCTATACATATTATTATTGTGCATATTCTATACATATTATTATTGTGCATATTCTACATATATTATTATTGTGCATATTTGATTGATCTAAAATGGTTGACAATGATGCTGCTTCACAGTTATGGTTCATTCAGTTGGATGTGCAGTTTAAATTGAGTTACATTACTGCCACTCAATTTTATACAGCTATCACCGCGTTAGAATCAGAGGTACTGCAATCAGCACGTGAAATAATTTTGAATCCACCAGTGATGGACAAATACAAATCATCTTTAAAAAAAAAAAAATTATTTTCTGTTTATGAAGAATCTGAGACAGTTAAAATCAAGCAGCTGTTGCATGATTTACAGTTGGGTGATATGAGGTCTTCTCAAATGCTGTCTAAAATGTCAGACTTAGCTGCCGGTAACTTAACAGATAACATTCTTAAAATATTATGGATGAATAGACTACCATCTAACATGCAAGCCATTTTAGTGGCCAGTAGCGAGCCACTTAAAAATCTATCCAAAATCGCTGATAAAATTCACGAGCTGGCCATTCCTGCACAAATACATGTAGTGCAGGCTCCTGGTCCAGGTATTGTGGCGTTACAGGCTCAAATTGATGATTTGTCCAAACAGGTTGCTCAGTTAGTAGCCGTCCAAGCTGAACAATTTTCAGCGCAACCGCTCCACATCACGTGGTCGAAATACACTTCGTAGCCCACTGAGGTAATATTATGAAAGCACTCCTCCGGGTATTTGTTTTTATCACCACAAATTTGGAAACAAGGCAAACATATGCCGCCCACTGTGTTGTTATAACGACCAGAGAAACAAGAAGGACCGTCGCTCGAAGTCATGAACGACAGCGACTGGAATATTGCACGCCTTTTCGTCATCGATAAGAATTCGGACTTAAGGTTTCTTGTAGACATGTTTCTGATGTTTCTGTTATTCCACCACATTTTCACGAACAAAAGCACCTTACCAAGTTACAACTTTATGCAGCAAATGAAACTCCTAGTCAAACTTTTGGTGAATGTCTGATATCTGTTGATTTAGGATTGAGCCGCAACTTCCAATGGCCATTCATTATTGCTACTGTTTGAAGTCCTATTATTGGCGCTGACTTTTTACAAAAATTTTCTTTGCTTGTCGATCTTAAGAATCGCTGTTTGATAATATTCCACAACCAACTGAACTTATCCGGGAGTAATTCACAATTTTAGTCGAGATTTGAGCATTAAACTGATTTCGTATAACTCCCCATGGCATTAACTTCTCAGAGAATTCCCTACAATCACACAACCAGTTATGGGTATTTCTGAACTCAAGCACGATGTACTACACTATATTGAAACTACCGGACCTCCAATTGCCTCTAAACCAAGACGCTTATCTCCGGACAAGCTGAAAGCCGCCAAAGAAGAATTTCAATACACGATGGAACAGGGAATTTGCCATCCTTCAAAAAGTTCATGGGCCAGTCTGTTCCATCTAGTTCGGAAACGAAATGGTAACTGGCGCCCGTGTGGCGATTATCGCCGGTTAAATGCAGCTACAATTCCTGATCGTAACCCAATCCCACACATTCAAGACTGTATGCAAGTTTTAGAGGGAGCTATTTTTACAACCCTTCATCTTGAGCGGGCGTATCACCAAGTGCCCGTTAAGCCAGTTGATATTCCAAAAACTGCGGTTATTACGCCTTTTGGACTATTTGAGTTTCCGGTCATGACTTTCAGCCTACATAATGCTGCTCAAATATTCCAACGCTTCATGAATCAGGAGTTAATCGGCTTCGACTTTTGTGTACCTTATTTTGATAACATCTAAATCGGCTCCTCTTCAGAGCAAGAACACCTATCACATTTGAGAACAGTTTTTGAATGTTTTCAAAGGTACGGTGTCAGTCTTAATCCTTCCAAATGCGTTTTCGGCCAACCAAGAGTATCCTTCCTTGGTCATGAAATTTCTGCTGATGGCATTCGACCCCTTACAGATAGAGTCACCACTATCCGCGATATGCCCGAGCCATCTACAGTGAAGGACTTCAGAAGATTTCTTGCTGTGCTCAATTTTTATCAACGTTTCTTACCTCATGTGACCATACAAGCCTCTCTAAATTCTTTTTTGGTTGGAAGCAAGAAAAACAATAAACGTGTTATAACCTGGACCACAAAATCTCACAAAGTGTTCCAAAAATGCAAAAATGATTTAATTTCAGCAACAAATTTGCAGTATCCTTCAGCATCTAAACCATTATCACTCTACATTGACGCATCAACAAACAGGTATAAGAGCAGTTTTACAACAGAAAGATCAAGAGTTATGGAGACTCATATTTTTCTAAAAAATCTCTCACCAACACAAACCAGATACAGCACTTACGATCACGAATTATTAGAAATTTATGAAGCTGTCAAATATTTTCGACATATGCTAGAGAAATGCGTTTTCATAATCTTCACAGATCACAAACCCTTAACCTATGCTTATCAACAGCGTTCGGATAAAGCTTCTCCTCGTCAAATGAGACACCTAGACTTCATAGGGCAATTTTCAACAGATATCCGTTATATTGAGGGTTTGCAGAATATTGTTCCAGACACCTTGTCTCGTATTGAAGAACTAGCCGTTCCTTTGCCAATAAAATTTGCTACCCTTGTGGATGAACAACACCGGGATTCAGAACTACAAACCCTTTTGAAAAGCAAATCTTCCACCCATCTCAACTTGCAGCCTAAGCAGCTGTCACCTTGAAAATCATTTTATTGCGATTTTCAGGATTCAAGATTTCGACCTTATGTTCCCTCCATGTTTCGCCATGCCATTTTTAGTCAGTTCCATCGTCTGTCACATCCTGGCATCAAGGCTTTGAGGAAACTGATACAGTAACGTTTCGTATGGCCTAGCATGCAAAAG